AAGCTTTGTCCGCCCCATGCCCGCCCAGAGCCCAGTGGTTGGGCCCAGGCCAGGTCCTGGCCCCCTTACCCCCATCCCCCCTGGACCCTTGGAGAGCCCTGCTGGGTGTAGCCCACCTTTTGACCTGGGCATGAAAGCACAGTCCGCTGGGGCATGTTTTGAATTTGATGAGTTTCACAAGCAGGTGCTCATCCCCTCTCCGCAAGGGGGGTTTTCATGTTTTGGCAGTTTCAAGCCTTTTTCCATGAGCTGTCAGGCTCCGTGTCTCACTGAAACCCGGGTCTGCTTTCTTGACATTTTTCTAGTATTAGAATTTCCATTGCCGTCAGTTTATTTTTTTTCTTCGAACCTTTGTGATAGCAGTTTTGTCACACACAGAAAAAAAGCAAGAAAAAAAGCACCTTCTCTTAAGAAGCCTGACCTACAAGAAACCCTGAGTCCTGACACGCAGTGGTGGCCCGGTCTGGCCGGCCAGCTTCCAGTGGGTGCCCAGGGGTCTGGGTCCCCAGGCCTGAGACGGAAGGGAGGTGAGGCCAGGATCAGCACGCAGGGCACAGGGTGAGAGCAGGCTGAGCAGGGTGGGTGCCCTGTGCCCTCCGGACTGAACTGCAGGTGCTGCAGGAGAGAAGGGACATTCACTCACTTGTCCGCTCACCCATATATTCAAACCGTGTCCCTGGGCGATTCCGAGTGGCTCTGCGCCGGGTACAGAAACTGTCCTCGCTCTCCTGAGCTTTCAGACGAGTGCCAGGCCCCCGAAGGGACGAAAGGCTGGCAGGATGGGAATGTGCGCCCAGCTGCGGGGCTGGGGGCGCAGTTGGTGCCTGAAGGAGCACATTGAGACCCGGGCAGGTGCCCGTTAGATGCTCGCCAATCAGCTTTTGAGGGGTTTGACCTGTGGCATGTGTCCCGCGTGAGGGGTTGGCGAAGCACACGCGCGATCTCCTTTCACCTCCCGCCCCAGGGTCCTCTCGAGGCGCCCACGGCTGTTATTCCTGTTTCACAGATGAGGGGCCAGGGGCCCAGGAAGGTGAGGGAACGTGTTTGAGGCCACGTGGTTAAAAGCAGGGCGACCGGGATTCTGTCGTCGTTGGTGGTGAGATTTTTGTAAAAAGGGCCTCACACCCTGGCACTATTGCCGTTTGGGACGGGGCTGTCCTGGGCATTGGAAGGTTGGCCGGTTTCCCTGGGCCCACTGGATACTAGTGTCACCCCCCAGCTGTGACAACCAAAAATGTCTCCAGACACTGCCAAGTGTCCCCTGGTGGGGAAGATCATGCCTGGTTGAGAAACACTGATTAAAATTCTTTTAATCTTTCATTGTAATGGACACTGAAACCGTTACTTGATCAGTTTATCCAGGCAAGTTTACCTTGGAGGAAATTTTGTGTTGCTTGGAAATAATTTTGAACTTACAGAAAAGTCACAAACACAGTCCAGAGATTTTCCCGGGACCACCTGAGAGTGAGTTACTGACATAACGCCCATCATCTCTGACGCTTCGAGTGTGTTTCATACAAATTAGGCATATTTTTACACTACCGTAGTAAAACCACCAAAACCAGAGGATTCGTTCTGAACCCTTTCCACCAGCGAAGCCTCGGGCCCCCTTCTGGTTTCTCCATCTGCCGGGCGGCGCCGGTTCCGGCCAGGAGCCCGGTTCAGAGCCTCGTGCGGGTTTGGCCGTCACGTCTCCCACCGCGGTTCCGGGTCCGTTCCGCCTCTTTCTGTCCCTCATGACCTGAGACTCCACACGTGACTCTATAGATGTCCCCAACCCTGGCTTTGACTGATGCGTCCTCGCTACTGGGCTCGGTCGGGCGGTGCGTCGGGTGGGAAGAGCCCGGGCGGGACGCCGAGCTCTCCTCGGTGGCGCCTGTCCTCCGGGGCTCCTTTGGTCCCCTGGCGGGTGGTCGCGGCGAGCGCTTGATCGAGGTGGTGCCTGCCGGGCTCGGCTCTTGTCTCCATGGTGACCGCTAAGTCCTCTGAGGGGAGCTCCTTGGAGGCCGTGCAAAGGGCCTGCGCCCCGTGGACTTGCCTCTTCTTCTCTTACGCTCTGCTGTCTGACTCACGCGTTCCTGCTTTATTCTGCTGTGACTGTTGTTCCACAGTGTCCCCGGCTGGGTCAGCGGGGCCACTCCAAGCTGCTGGCCGTGTCCCTTTGGCCCCGTTCTTTGTGTTGGGAACACTTCTTCACTCGAAGGTGTTCCCGGCTTAGCTTGAACTTTCCTGCCCCCGCCTTGGAGTCCGCCCGCTCTCCAGGGAGCCTGGGATTTGAATGGGCGCGTGCCCGTTGCCAGATCCCGGCTGAATCCGGGCCAGACCCTTTCCTTGGGTCTGTTCTGATTCTCACCGCAGCTGGGACCTCAGGCCGGAGGGGTGGGACTGAACGGAAGAGGGGCGGGCCTGAGTGACGACGGTCCCGAGTCAGAGCACGTGCTCAGCTACCGGGGCCCTCGGGGCAGCCCTGGGCTACGGAGCCGCCGGGCCGCCGACGTCCAGCGTGTCCCTGGACTCATGTCCGAGGGTGCCGGGTGCATTTTGGAGATTATAGTTATTCCAAAAGGGAAGAAACCAATAGATGAAGACAGTGGACTGAAACATTTTTAGGGGCAGAGCTCTTACGAAATCCGACTTCCGTGCTTGGCACAGTTTGTCCTGAGTCTTTATCAAAGTACACGCGTGGGTGGTCACACGGCTGGAGGCAGATGCCGGCACCTGCTGGATTCTGCTCTCTCACTGGTGCTATTTTGTGCTTTTTGCAAGGTGCGGTATTGAACGCCAATCTTCTCTTCGCCGTGGTAGAGCGCCTGCGTCCTGGGACCGGCTGCGTGCCCGGCAGTGTCCTGGGCACCTCCCCTTCTTAATGCTGAAACATTTTAAATAGACTTTATTTTTCAGAGCAGATTGACAGGAAGTCTGAGAGGATAGCAGAGCGCCCCATGGACCCCCACCCAGTTTCCTCTATGACTAACATCTTAGGGTGACGCATTTGTCACAGCGAACAAGCAGTATTGATACGGTGCTCGGAACTAAAGCCCGTCCTCTGTTCAGGTCGCCTTAGGTTTCACCTGCCGCAGGCTCCTGTTCCCGTAGCCCACCCAGGACACCGCCTACGTGGGGTCACCCGGTCTCCTTGGGCTCCTCCGGGCTGTGCTGCTTCTGACCTTCCTTGTGTTCGATGACCTTGGCAGTTTCGAGGAGGGCCGTTCAGGGCGCCCTTCTATTGGGACCTGTCAGATGTTTTTGTCTGGATTCGGTTGGGGCTACAGGTTTAGGGTAGGACAGGGTCCTTTTCATGACATCGTATCCAGGGGACATGCTCTCAGCACGACTGGTCACTGGCACCTTCTCTTTCGAGAGCTCGTTTAATCTTCAGTCAACCCCCCGAAGTGGGTTTTTGCAAGATGCACCACGCCTGGCTGGTGTGGCTCAGCCGGTTGGAGCGTCGCCCCGCACACCAAAAGGTTGCGGGTTCGATTCCCGGTCGGGGAGCATGCAGGAGGCAACCCACCGATGTCTCTCTCCCCCTTTCTCTCTAAAAGTCAACAACAGAAACCAAAAAAATCAAAATTAGAAAACCCTCCAGAGTGGGCCTGATCCATCCCATTTTCCAGCTAAGACGACCGAGGCTGGGAGAGGCGCAGTCCTGTGCCGGGCCTCACTGCCAAGAGGCCCCCTCTCCAGGATTGTTTGGCTTCCAGCCTGCTTCCAGCGTGTGATTGTTAATATAAACACCAGGCTGAGCGCAGCCTTGCTGTTTTGTGTTGGGTTATTTCCTGAGGGTGTGTCCCCAAAGAGGGATTACTGGGTCAAAGGGTGTGAGATTTTCACTGCCACATGGCTCTCGAGAAAGATGGAACCGGTTCCTGTTTACCCATGTCCTCTCCAAGACTGAGTTTTATCGTTTTTACTTATTTTGTCTTGTTACTTTGTCACGCACGCCCCCCCCCTTCCCCCCGGCCCAATCCCAGTGACTTGGCACCAACCCACAGCTGGCTGTTTGCAAAACTCAGAATCATTCTCAAAGGTCGGAGATTCCGTCTCGCTGATGTCATTTAAGAGAATGCGCCTCAGGCCAGAGACCGTATGTCACAGCCCGGCGTGGGCGATGCACAGGGGCCGCCTGGCTGGAGCGAGCCTGGCCTCCCGCGGCGACTGCGCTGGGAGCGGCGGTTCTCCGACGCAGCGAGGGCGACGCGTTTGCTAAACCCGCAGCCAGGAACTGGGGCATTTTCCACGCGCTCTGCTTTTCGCACGCGTCCCGGCCTGTTTCCCCATTCGACACTTCCTACCTGGCGATGGGCGTTTAAAAGGGACACCTAAGAGTGTTTCCCAAACTGGCCTCGTGTCCGCACAGCTCAGCCTGCCCCCCCTTATTTGTGTTACGGCGGTTGGTCGGCCTCCAGTGGGTTTTCAGCGAGGGGTCCGGGCCGGGGGTTCCCCAGAGCTGCAGGAATCAGGGAGGATGCTCTGGAGGTGACTTAGCCGGCACACTGGCGTCTCCGGCAGATGTCTCTGGCCAGGCGTGTGCGCCTCGCCGCGGCGGGTTCCGCATCCCGCAGGCAGCCTCTGGAGAGCCGGGAGAGGCTGTGCCTCCCCGAGCACCGTGTGCACCAGGGAGCTGATTTGCTCCAGGAGAGACCAGGTGCCTGGGCCGTGGCTGAATGTCCGCTGACACTTGGCTGCGACCCGGCACCCTACTCAGTATGAGAAAACAATCGGACGGAGGCGGGGGTTTGGAAGGAGAAGGTGAAGGTTGTGCCCTAAGAATCATTTCCTCAGCACCTCCCGAGCCCACCAAAGGGCTTTGAAAAGCGCGGTTTGTAGAAAACTGAACTCCGAGTGGCCTGAGCCTAAAGGGCTCCAGGGTCGCCAGGCTTCAGGCGTGTCTGGCACAGGATTCAGAAAACGTCCTCAGTGCCTGTCATCCACTCCTGTCGCCCTGCCTTGAGGTCCTCTGCGTGTTTCCCACAGTGACCTGGGGAGCTCTGGGCTCCGCAGACCCCGGGTGCTGCACGGTCTGGCAGCCGCTTAGACCAAGTTCTTTGTCAGCAGGAGTGTGCTTGGCTCCAGGTGGGCAAGGGCCTCTCCTGGACTGTGTGTGCGTGCTGGGGGGCAGGTAGGTGGACTGGGGAGGGGTCCAGTGTGCTGGCCGGCTAGTGGCTGGAGGAGAGGTGCTCCCTAAGTTCTCTGACAACACTGGAGAAATGAGCACTGGGAAGTGAGCCCCTGTGACCTCGGCCTGGGGGTGGGCAAGGACCCTGAAATCTGCCCACTCTTCTCCACTGGGGAACAAGGGGGAGGCATCTGCCCACATCTGGGGCGGGGCAGGACCCGGTAGCTGCCAGACCCTCTGTGGTGAAGTGGTCACTTTTCTTCTCTTTGCAGATTCCAGGCCCCAGAAGAACCAGACAGTAAGTAGCCGCCCCCTTCCCCCAGCTTGGTGCCCGTAAATCTGACTCCTCAACAGATGTGCTGGTGCTGAGAGCTGCCCAGGCCCCTGCAAGCTCATGCTGGGCCTCCCCACGCAGGGAGCTCTGAGCAGAGCCAGGCCTCAGCCAGGCCCTGGCCAAGGATGCCACCCCCCCGCCCCCGGCAGCCTCGGCTCCTGGCTCATCCTGCTGGGGACTTCCAGAAAGGCCCTCCAGACCATGGTTTGGCCACTTCGGGTGCCAGGTGTGGTCTGGTCACGAGGAAGCCTGTGCTTACTTCCCCTTTTCCCCTTCGCTCCTCCATGAGTCTTGTCCTTGCATGGGGATGACAAATCAGTAGCAGGAATTTGCAAAACCGTAGCTGTCGCCTACTGAGCATTTACCATGAGCAGGCGCCTCGCTCTCGACAAGAGTAATCTCAGGTGGTCCTTACAAGACGCAAGGTCGGTAGTGCCGTCCCCTTCTATGAGAGGGAATGGAGGCCCAGACAGGAGAGGTGGCTCCACAGCTGGGAGCAGACCTACCGGCATCTGAGCCCCAGTTCGTGACTCCAAAGCCAGAGCGGCTACCCTGCACTGCCTCCTCGTAAGGCCAGCTTCACCCGCCTTTTACGGGGCGCTGGCTGTGTGCAGGCCCCGGGCGAGGGTCTATGCAGATGTTATGCTGACCCCAGGATCACCTGTCCCCAGGTGTCAGGATGGGGCCCAGACACCAGGTCCTCCCTGGGCTTGTCCTTGCGCCCTGCTCTGTGCCCAGCCCCCCAGGGGCAGCTCGGGCCGTGGGATCCGGGGCAGTGCCCTGCAGAGCTGAGGGAGGGAACAGGACCAAGCCCTCCATAGGGCCGGGTCTCAGACGTGTACGGTTCCCCCTTGGTTTTTTCCTCCCACTTATCAAATCTATCATTATTTTCTTTTAACTCAAACATTTATGCCTGGAAGATTTGCAGTCCAGATGTAATAGTAACTGAATACCACAGTGTTTACAGTTTCACATGGTGTGCACAGGCTCTCCCACCCTTTTCAGGTCCATTAGTGATTGAGTTTTGTAAACTGGCATTGAAACATCCCAACACTGTTTCGTTGCACCAATTTTATAAGCTTTTACAGTGCAAGAGGCGTTGTTTTTCAGAGACAAACCAAAGATTAATGTCTCAAGGCTCTTGCTACCTGCCTTAGTGGCATTTGGTGGAGAATCTTTTATATATATTTGTCATAGATGAAAAACCAGATTGCAAATTCTTTTATATACATATATATTTTTTAATTGATTTTTAGAGAGAAAAGAAGGAAGAGGGAGGGAGAGAGAGAGAAACATTGATCTGCTTCCTCCTGCATGCCCCCTACCAGGGATTGAACTGGCAGCTTTTCAGTCCACGGGGATGGTGCCCACGTGACTGAGCCACACTGGCCAGGGCACAGATTCTTTTTTTGAATGCTTAAATCATATACCAAGTTTTTGGTCCAAATTGTGTAGAATAAGTTAAACTTAAATTGCATTCTGTTAACCAATATGAGTATATTTCTCTAAGCATAGTTATGTTGAAATAAAGTTTTAAAAAGCAAAAAAAAGAAAACCTATTTATACATGGAGAAAGGTTTCCATCATTTAATTTTTAAACGTGATAAGCAGAACCACAATAGGAGTTCAGTTTCAAATTATGGGAAATCAGATGCAGATACGCTTGGGTCAGACCAGTTGCTGTTACAATGCCAAGGAATTTCATGAAAAAGGCGTTAGGCGATTCATAAGATAATCAGGTATCTTTTGGCTACCTGGGCTGACGCATTAATAGTAAGTTGTTTTAAAATGCTGTCTTTTGTACTTCAGGTTGTTATAAGAGAATATTCAGAATTATGTAGCTATATTTTCTGAATTACTCCAACTCGTTCCACTTTGAAGGCAGCAGGTAAATGCTGTGCCCTAGAACATTCCATGAGGCCACTTCTCCTGTGCGCCTACCTATCAAAGCCGAAAAGTAATCCAGCACCTTCTGGAAGACGTGGCTAATTTTAGAAAACATGAGTGCTTATAACTGACTAGTGTCCCAGGAGGCCAGGGCTGGGCAGTTGGAGTGGCCTGGAGCCAACGCTTATAGACCGGCCCTTACACGCGTGGATCCTGCAGCCAGATGCCGGGGTTCAAGTGCCGGCCCGGACACTTACTAACCCTGACAAGTCACTTGACTCCTCCTTGGTGCCTCAGTTTCCTGATCTGTAAAACGGAGAGGTGCTCATTTTAGTCACCTCATGGGGTGGCTGTGAGGATTAACATGTGCCACGGGGAACATGCGTGTGATGTTGGCGCGATCCTTATTACTTAGTACGTGTTAAAAGCGGCAGACTTCCCCTGGAACTTACCGGGCAGGTGTGCCAGGCGGTCGTGGCTGCAAACCCGGGGGGTGGCGTGTGGCGGCTGCAAAGCAGAGGGGAAGACCCGCCGGGGCAAATAGAGATGAAGAAACGGGGCTTCGAAGTTCAAAGACTGGGGGAGGTCAGGCGCCCGCCTCAGCGCCCCGCCTCTGTGCCGCAGGAGCTGGAGAGGAGCGGGTCGGTGGCCGAGCCCTGCTGCACAGGGGAGCTGGGGTTCATGCGCCCCCCGGCTGTGGAGACCTGCAACGTGGGGGCCGCCTGCCCGGAGAGCCTGCCGCTGGTGGGTGCCAGCCCAGCCGGGAGCCCCCCGTCCCCCAGGGACCTTCCCGAGCCCCGCAGGACCGCGGAGCATACCAACAACAGGATTGGTGAGTCGGCTTGCTTGGGCAGGGCCGTGGGGGGGGGGGGGCTGGGCCCCCGACGGGAACCAGAGACCCTGGGGCCCGAAGGCCCACAAGGAGGAGGCGTGGATTCTCCCACAGGCCTCATTAGTACTTAGGTGCACGGTGCAGCTTGGGAGACGGCATAGGGGTGGCACTGACTTCACAGGACCAGCGGAGAGTTCCTGAAATAATCACATAGCGTCAGTCTTGTGGGGTGCGGTGGGGGAAAGGGGCTCCCCCTGTCTGGCGCCCACTATTATAGAGAAAAGTGATCACCAGCAAGGGGCGCCTGAGGGGAACGGGAGGAAAACACATGGTGATATAAGAGCTGCCACTTGTCTGACGCATTCCCGGCGCTGTGCAAGCGTCACGTCTCCTTGCCACACAACCTCCTGAGTGCGGATGGTGTGTTCCCCTTTTCGCAACTGGGGAAACTGTGGATGGGGGGGCGGGGGTGAAATGATTTTCCCCAGCGCACAGCTGTAAGCAGCAGGGCTGGGCTCGTCCGCAGGCCTCTGAACCCCCGGCTTTGTCTGCACCACCACCGGGCCTCGCGGGCACGGAGCCAGCGCCACCCGAGCCGCAGCTGCCCTCGGGCTCGGGCGCGCCGCCCGCTTTGGCCTCACCCAGGCCTCGTGCTTCCTCTGTTACTTCTCTCCCCGCTGGTACCACCAGAATGTTTCTCCCAAATTACACCCTCTATGTTGAGCTGCAGGGCTCTTATTCCAGCACTCACGGCTGGTCACGCTCTGCTTTCTCTGCACCGACTCACCTGCCTCCTGACCCTGCGTGTCCTCCCACCCAACGGGAGTTTCCTAAGTTTACCGAGCCCTTGCTCACTGCTAAGCTTCTCTGTGGGAGCTGCTTCTTCACCTGCGATAGCCAACTCTACCCGCTTGAACCTAGTTAATTCCTGATGTCCCGAAGACCCTGCTTATTTGCCGCCGCCTCCAGGAAGCCTTCCTTGCTCTTTTCTGCTCTCCTGTCTAGACTAGATGCCCCTCTGCTGTGCTCCCCCAGGCTCCAGGCCTCCCCGCCCAGTGTCCTCAGCACTGAACAGTGTGACTGTGTTTGTGGACTTCCCCTGCCCCTCACCTGGCTGTGCGCCCCCTGGGGCAGGGCCTCAGTGGGTCCATCCCTGTCTTCTCTGGGGGGTTAACCATCGCTTGGATAATACCAGAGAGGCATTTGTAATTGCGCAACACATTTCCGTGGCAGGGGTTGGTGGATAGATTCTTTAGGGCAGAGTCTTCCGTACCAAACTGAAACTTTAAGAACTGCAGCTTTTGGCAAGTTTTATTTTTAAAAAAATGTGTTTTGGGAAATACTGCCCAAGGCATCTCCTTCAGATTTCCTAAGAAGCCCTAATTTGAACATTTGAGCCCATGATGAGTTGAATGCCTGGAACCTCAGGGCTGGGGCTCTGGGAGTGTTTGAGGGGGTGGTGGAGGCAGCCACCAGGCTCTCAGGGCAGCAGGGGAGTGGGCAGCCTGCCTAGAGCTGAGCCAGCCTGCAGGCCTTGCTGGTGCGTGGGGTGGTGGGGAGGGAAGGTTTGGAGGTTCTCTTGGGACACCCAAGGGACAGTGAGCCCCTTGTCCTGCTGATACCACCCCAGAGGAGCACCTCTGTGTTCAGTTCCCAAAGGGGACCAAACTCTGGCCTGAGCTTCATCACTCCCTGACCCCCGGCACCAGGCAAGACAGCTCTTTCCCCCCCCTTTCTCCCACCCCACTAAGACGACTTCCCTGGATCTTGGCACCCTGGATGGGGCAGGACGTCGAAGTAGCTCTGAAAGACCCTCCCCCTTTAGTCTGGAGGTGCGCAGTCCTGTGATGGGGGACAGAGCCGGAGGAATCAGGACCCAGGGAATGGGAGGGGGTGATAGTCTGGTTCCCAACTTTGGCCTCTTCAACCTGGACCCCCCACTGCTCTGTCTCTCTGTCTCTCTGTCTCTCTGTCACCTCCTCTAGCCCCGCCTGGCCTTCTCCGTGCCCTTTCTCACCCCCCAGGGCAAGCGGCCTGCAGGTCTCGAAGGTGTGTGTGGCTGGGGCCTGAGGCCCTGTTCTCTCCTTTGAAGTATGTGGGGGCCCAGCCCACGGCTAGTCTCTCTCTCAGCTTCTCTTTAGTTCCTGCTGCTATTTTGAACACTTCTCTCTTTCCTGGGGGTGTGAAGAGCTGGCGTTATGTAATGTGGTTTAGGGTTCAGGGGCCCCAAGAATGTTTTGGGAGTTCCTAAATCAGAGGGGTGTCAATGGTTACCCAGAGAAGCAGGGATCCCGAGCCCCCTGCCCCACCCCAACTCTCAAGTTCCCTCCTGAGCTTCCCCACCCAGCCTCCAGATTTCTGGGGCTGAGCGCCTGGGAGCTGGGCCCCCGCCCTGAGCTCGAGGCCTCGGAAGCTGGGCCGCTGGTGCTCGAAGTCAGCTGGCCTGGCTCAAGGCTAGGCTCCCCACTTCCCAGCCTCTTAGGCAGCGTCCTTAACTCCTCTGAGCCTCTGAAGGCCCCAGCAGATGGTGTTGAGGACCCAGGAATCACACCTTTAATGGGCCGGGCCGGTCTTCCATCCAAGTGACACACACAAGCAGCGGCACTCCCTCGGCGCTGGGCAGGCACAGCCACGAGGGCCCCAGGTGGGAGATGGGCAATAAGCAATAAACGCTGAAATAGGCTGCCTGGCCCAGTGCTGTCCGCATGGCAGGCCGCCAGTGTCACTCACAGAGCCGAGGCTTCTGCAGGGACTGACCACTGAAGAGGTTCCTGGGTTGGGGACATCCACTGCTCAAACTGGGGCACGTTGGTCACACCGGGTTTCTGCTGTAGGCACGTGGAGAAGAGTGGAAAGGGCAGGAGGCAGGAGTTTCTTTTGGGATTTCTGCTCACCACCTGGTGACCTTGGGCAGGTCATTTAACGTCTGTGGGCTTCAGGTTCTTTATCTCTAACGGGATAATAACAGACTATTTACCTGGCAGAAGGGATATGAGGACTCAGGAGCTAAAGTGTGGACAGTGTCCTAAATAGTGTCCAGCAGGGGCCAACCTCTACTCAAGTTCTCTGGTGCTATTACTTTTTTTTAAATTTTATTTTTTAATTACAGGTGACATTGGAAGGTGCTATTGTTATTGATTTTACTTGCCCCCTCCCCACTATGTGCTTCCTCTCCCAACCCCATGCTCTCCCCCCTACCCTACCCTATCCTCACAGAAGTGCCGAGAACATCACAGGTGTCTCCCATAGGTAGCAAGTGGGCCAGTTTTTAACTCCTCAGCACACAGTCCTAGCTGTAAGGTTGGCAGGGCTTACTGTGCATCAGAGAGGTTGTGCCACCTGCCTGAGGCCACACAGCAGGAGTGGGGAAGCTGGGACTTGGAGCCCTCTCTACCTCCTTGCTTCCATCTTCTGGGGCTCTGGCCTCCCCACCTCACCCATCTTTTGGCTTTGCAGAGAAAATCTACATCATGAGGGCCGACACAGTGATCGTGGGGACCGTGAAGACCGAGGTGCCCGAGGGCCGGGCCCTGGTGGAGCCGGCGGAGCCTGAGCTGGAGGAGGGCTTGGAGGTGGACCATGCCCCCCACTACCCAGAGCAGGAGACAGAACCACCTCTGGGCAGCTGCAGGGACGTCATGTTCTCGGTGGAAGAGGAAGGGAAGGAGGACCCCTTGCCCACGACTGCCTCTGGGAAATGAGGCCTGGCCTGGGCTGGGGCTGAGGGGGCAGCTGGGTGCCCCCTGGGAGCCAGAGCGGCACAGGGGAACCAAGCCGGTGCAGAGGCCCATCTGCTGAACTGAGCTTCCAGCATCCAGTGGTCAGTGCAGGAGGGGTCCTGGGGGTCTCTACTGCACCCCCACCCAGCTGCCCCCCACCCACACCCTGGGGCAGTGGGTTGTGCAGTAGAGACAACCAGGGGCCTAGATCTAAACAGCGAAGTTTGCTGGGGCGACAGACAGACTGCGGGGACTGGGCACGCTGTTTCTGCTCCTACTGAAAGTGCCACCGAGCCCTGGGCCTTGGACACGCTCTCCTAGGGCTGGAGCCCACCTGAGGCAGTGGCCTCGAGGCCCATACCCCCTACCCTCTCCCTTCACCCTGGGCCTCAGAAGAGAAACCCACAGGGCCTTGGTGCCATGCCAACAACCGCAGTTACTGTAAACGCGGCTCCCCGTGGCACAGAGCCAGCGCCGACGGTTTCTCCTCAGCTGGAAGGAAAATAGCGGGATAGGGCGCTGTGGGCTGGCCCGTCTCGGCCACCGCCCTGCTGGGCTCTGTGCCCTGTGCCTGGTGAGTGCCCAGCCTGATCGAGTGGGACTCTCCTGGCCCTGCCCCCTTTCCCTGTTCTGTATCCCGCACGGTGGGCCCATGGCCTGGGATCAACTCGCTCATCCCAGAATGTCCCTGCCAGTGTCCCCTCAGCAGGAGGCACTTCAGGACCCAGATATCTGCAGACCCCTAGCAGCTGTGGTGCCCATCCTGGCCAGAGAGCCTGCCCTGCCAGCTTTGCTCAGGGGCTTCCTCCGCACACAGAGAAGGAGCTGTGGGCCCTGCTGGGTCCTTGCTGGCTCGGTGGGCACTCCCCGCTCTGGCCGGGAAATGAAGATGCATCTTTCCCAGATCTGCCACACTCATGGACCTTGATGGCACCGGGCCCTGCCTCTTGCTGCAGTGTCTCCGCACCCATGTTGGGATACGGGCGTCAAAAGCTGCATCCTGCCTTATCCTGGGCTCTGGGAGAAAAAGCTTTGCGTCGCTCAACCTGGAGTCCAGAACCCAGAACTGTTACATGTCACACTAAGAATACTTTGTCTGCTGACCTGCTCTTCGTAAGGCTTTCAGACTCATGTAAACAAGCTTGTGGCCTTGGAAAAGGGACCGTGGGCCGATGACACGGGTGTGGTGGCCTGGGCACTGAGTCCTGGAATTACCCACTGGAAGCCAGGCCTGAGTTGTTGTTTACTCACCGGCCTGCTCATCTCTGGAGGAAGCTGGGGCTGGTCAGGAACCACAGGGGTAGTTTCTGAAACGGCTCAGATGTTTTGGGGAAAGTTGGAGAGGCCGGGGCACCGTGAGAGGCGGTTACACCAGAACCTGTAGAAGTTTATGGGGATGGATGATATTTGTCAAAATGCCTGTGTGGGCAGCTCTGCACCTGTGTCTCTGCTCTGCGGTGCCCGAGGACAGCACACGCCCGGCGGCAGGGGCTCAGGAGGCGGCCTGAGGATACTTAATGAAATGACGCGCTCCCTTGCCCCAGAGCCCTTCACAGAACTTTTTTTAAAAAAATGTTTTTATTGATTTTAGAGAGGGAGGAAGGGAGAGGGCGAGAGAGAAAGAAACGCGGGTGAGAGAGAAACATCAATTGGCTGCCTCCTGCATGGATGGAGCCCGCCACCCAGGCACGTGCCCTGACTGGGGAATTCAGCCTGCGACCTCTTGGTGCATGGCTCAACGACCGCTGAGCCACACCAGCCGGGCTCTTCACAGAACTTTTGATCTTTTAAAAAGTCATAAGATGCCCTGGCCGGTTTGGCTCAGTGGTTAGAGAGTCAGCCTGAGGATGGAAGGGTCCTTGGTTCGGTTCCTGCCAAGGGCACGTACCTCGGTTGCAGGCTTGATCCCCACCCCAGGGCGCAGGAAGCAACCAGTAGATGTGTCTCTCTCACATTGATGTCTCTCTCTCTCTCTCTCTCTCTCTGTCTCACATTGATGTCTCTCTCTCTCTCTCTCTCTCTCTCCATTCCACTCTCTCTGAAAAGCAATGGAAACAATATCCTCAGGTGAGGATTTTAAAAAGTCATAAGGTTCCTAAAAACGAAATGACCGTGAGGCTAAGGAGACTCTCATTGAGATGGATAATCTTTGAGAACCTCTGAGGACAGCGGGTCCCTCTTCACCCCTCTGGGGACAGGGCTGCTACCTGCAGGAGAGGCCCCTCCACCGCTGGAGGCTCTTCCTTGCCTTCCTCCCTGGCACGCCTGCTCCAGTCCAGGCCTGCCTTCCAGGGTCCTCGGGACAAAGCTGCTCCACACCAGGCTCCCTGCGGGTGTTTGCAGAAAGGACTGTGGGGAAGGGAGTCACAAAAGCAGCCTGAACGCCCAGCCTGGGGGACACAGGGAGCGGACTAAGATGTCAGTGGGAGCCCAGGGCTTCATGCTGAGGCTGGGAGGGGGCCACGGCTCAGGGGCAGTTTGGGGGTCTGCTCCCCACCACAGGCAGCCAGCCTGGGCCCCAAGAGGCCCCGGGGGTGGGAAAGCTCCTCGCCTTGGGACTTCAGGAGCTCACCTGGTAGAAGCATCGTGAGCAGGGCAGAGGGGGGGGTGCAAGCAGGCTGTGGGGCCAGGTCATGGAGGGCCCGGTGGAGATTATAAGGCACCCAGATTTTATCATAAGACAAGGAGACTTGCTTGACTCGGGGTGATGCACACACAATATAGTGCATAGATGATATGTTGTGGAATCGCGCACCTGAAACCTGTATAATTTTGTTAACCAGTGTCACCCTAATAAATTCAATAGAAAGGGGGGAAAATAAACATGAAAGAAGACAGGTAAAAAACACACATCAGACTTCATTGATTTCTGTTTTCCTCCCCCCAGAACAATAAACATCCTGCTATTCTCTCAGCATGGGCCGGAAAGGCCAAACCAGGGGCAACGAGGCTGTTTCAATCCATCCCAGACAAAGGCAGGGGTTGCTGGCAGCCGGAAAGCCGTTGGATGTTTCTCAGAAAGGGCAGTGCTAAGGCGGCTCCCGGTCGCAGCCCTGGGGCTGGCTGCCTGGCAGTCCAGGTTCCTCCTTCTTTGGGTGTCTTCCAGAAGAGTGAACACCAAATCAAAAAACCCTGGGGAGGCCAGGGGCCTTTGTGTTCGGTGTGGGGCGTGAGTTTAACACCCCGGCCTGCACTTTCCTCCTGCATCCCAATTCATTACGGCTTCTGAGGTCCTGAAGGGATGGCCTTTGGGTTGAAACCCGCAGCTCGAGGGTTCCCAGTGTTCCCAGCTGCACGGCCTCAGACAAGGCCCTTCATCACCTTCCACTTTGGTTTCCTGACCTCCAACCCAAAGGTCATAATGACCTTGCTAGGTGCATGCAAGTAAGTACCGGTGCAGTGCTTGGCCTGGCGCCAGGCACGTTCCCTGTGCCGTGATCGATAGTCACTATCAGCGGCACTTGGAGAGCTTTCAGGTTTGCCCAAGGCTTTCCAAGCTCTTTATGCACTTGGGCTTCACAATCACAGCTGAAAGGCAGATAGGCTGAGTACCGGCACTCCCTCTACAAACTGAGGCTCAGAGAGGTGAAGCAGCCACCCCACGGTCAGACAGCCAATCCCCCAACTCTGTGATTCCAAATCCCCTCCGCCCATGTGGCCCCGGGCTGCCTCTGAGGTCGGGCTGTGTTTACATCACAGTTCTCAGCGGGCACTGTGCCCTCCGGCCACGGTTCACCTCCAAGTCACTACAGCTGGGAGAGAGGAAGGAGGCTGATTTTACTCCTTGTTTTAGGGCAAGGCAGGCATAGTTGTATGAGGCTGGGGAACTTGCCCGAGCTCAGGTGGCACCCCAGGTGTGCTTTCTTTCTGATTCCTCTGCCCCAGGGCTAACCCAGCCACAGCCTCGCTCCTTGAAGCAGCTTTCCTTGAAGGGGGTCTGGTTCTGAGGTCAGGGAGACCCAGGCCTGGGAGGAACAGCGGGACAGAGACCTCCACTGGAGGACTGGCCAACAATCAGATCGCCTTCGACATTCTCAATAACTCCTCACACCCCATGCTCTGCCCCGTGCCGGGATCCAAGGAAGACAGGTCAAGGACAAGCCTCCCCATTGAACAGATGGGAAAACTGAGCCCTGTAGCGGTAAGGTGGTTTGCCTGAGGTCCCAGGTTGGTAAGCTAGATCCCTTGCTGTGTAAGTTGGGACTGGGGTGGGGGAATTGCAATTTAGCCTAAGTGAGCAGTAAAGACTATTTGCTGATTCTCAATCTTCCTTTTAAAAAAATGGTGTTAAAGTAAAGGCAACTGTGGTAAGAGCGTTGGGTTCGTATTTATAAGGCAGCTTTGCAAGAGCCGAAGTAGCCCCTGTAATCAGACAGGAATGGACACGAAGCGGGACTTGTGCAGCCTCCCGGCCCTATGACCTGTGCTGTCCCACAGGGTCGCCGCCTAGAAGGGCCGAGCTTGACTTCATACCCCGCCGTCTGGAAAATTACCGGTACATTTTGAACAAGGGGCCCTATGTTTTCATTTCCCCCGGGTCCCTCAAATGACGTAGCTGATCCCGCGCGAGGGGCAGCCAGCTTGTCTGTCGGGAACGCAGTGCCGAAGCGCTTTACGCCCATCACCGCTGACCTCCCAGTGACCGTGATGACAGACGAGCAAGCGGGTTCCCAAGTCTCCAAAGTACTGAATGACTAGTGACTGACCTCCACTGTCCTGGAGATCTCTTGTCACCTCAAAACTTGGTGGCTTAAAACAACACCAGTCATTTATTTTTGCTCACCCATCTGTGGTTTGGCTCCGGGCTGGGTGGGGAAGGCTGGTCTCTGGTCACACGGCACCGGCTGGCACCAGACAGGGTGCCGTTGAAGCGGCTGGCAAGCCGGTGCTGGCTGCGGGGCCCCTCGCAGCGCGGTGACCGGGGTCCCAGATCGAATGCCCCAGGGTAGGAAGTGGAAACGGCCAGGTTCTTAAATTTCGGC